GGGAGAAATCTCAATGGACTTCTGCTCACAATATATAGGAAGCTACTTGCCATAAGGCGAACCCTGTGTATATTTCTTAGTTTAGGGGGAGTATAGCAAACAGAAGAGGGGTGAGTTGAAGTTTGATATTTGAACAAAAGAGATTAGACCTGGGATACTGGTGTTACTGAGGGGGACTAGAAACCCTTATTCATAAAATCATAAACTTTGCATCAGAAGCAACCTCAGATCATCTGGCCTAAACCTCACCCAGATCATAAACCTTGCCTACACCATCCCCAACCAGTGGTCATTCAGTCTGTGCTCCAAGATTTCCAATAACAGAAAGCTGCCTACTTCACAGTGTGGCTGTTTCCACTTTTCAAAAGTTCCTTTGGTAAGCAGGAGTCTTGCTTCCTGTTAATTTCACCCATTGAAAGAAGGACCATATGCCCAATGACATGTAGCACCCTTGTAGTGTTTGGTTTCAAATTGGAGTCCAAATAAAGGTGGCTGGGTGGCGTAGTGGACGGTACCGCACTCGGAAGGACATTGTTGCTGTTTTTCAGTTGTGTCTGACTCTTCATGGCCCCATGGGCCATGCTGTCCTTGGCAAAAGTTCTGGAGTAGTTTGTCATTTCCTTCTCCAGTGGATTAAGGCAAACAGAAGTTAAGTGACTTGCCCAGGGTCACACAGTGAGTAGGTGTCTGAAGCCAGATTTGAACTCATGTCTTCTTGACTCCAGGCTCAGTGCTCTATCCACTGAGCCCCTAGCTATCCTCCTGGAATGAGGATGATCTGAATTCAAATCCAGCTTCAGATGCAAATTAGCTGCATGACCTTGGGCAAGTCACTTAACTTCTCTCAGCTTTAGTTTCCCCATTTGTAAAGTGGGGATAATAGTATCTATGTCACAGGGTTGAGTTGTAAGGATCAAATGAGATAATATGCATAAAGGGTTTTTCAATTCTTTAAAGTGCTATATAGGGGTTAGCTATTCTTAGTATTAATATGAAACTTGCAAATATTTATTTATTTATTTGCAAATATTTAACTAACAAAAATGACATAGATGAGGAGGACCTGCCAGGGGAAAAAAGGAGTAGAGGTGAGGTGGGGAAGGAAAACCTTCGACTATAATATGTTATACATCCTGGGGTCCTCCATCATGCCTTTCTCCCTTGCTTATCACCTTCCACAGCACAGCCACAGAGCAGAGGACCTGAAAAATACAACTGCAAAGAGATTAAAATGCTATCATTTCTCACATGTGTTCAAACTGATGACACTGTATTATTTCTCATATTACCCCACTATTTTTCTGATTTTAACAGATGGTTTGTCCAAAAAATAACATATTTCACCAACATCAAATAATACTTGCCAACCATGCCCAAAAAGGGGCAAGCCGTACATTTCAGCCATTCTGTTCTGACTAAAAGCCAGATGAATATGACTTTCTGCTGTGGACTGATTCTCCAGCTCCATGCTTAACTGAGATGCCTTGAGTTTTCACTTTATAAGGAGACAGGGTGGTAGAGTGGGTTGGAAACTAGAGTTGGAGTCAGAAGACAAAGATTTCAGGCTTGGCTCCTCTACTGACTAGCTATGTACTGAGCTAATCACTTTACCTCTCTCTAAGCCTCAATTTTCTCATCTCTAATAAAACCAACAAGCATTTAATGAGCACCTACTATGTGCCAGGCACTGTGCTAAGCCCTGGGTACATGAAAGGGAGGGAACAAGCATTTATTAAGTGCCTGCTTGCTAAGTACTTTACAACTATCTCATTTGGGATGATATTTTCATATTTCATTTGAAGTCCGGTTTGATTGGACTATAGAGTGTGGGGAAGGGAGTAATGACTAATGAGGTTGGAGAGGGAAGTTGAGGCCAGGACTGTAGAAGTGAGAAAGAGAAATCTATATTTTATCCTGGAGGCAATAAGGAGACTGCGGGGTTTATTTAGTGAATAGGGAAGTGACATCACCACATTTGCACTTAAGGAAAATCAGGGATGGATTGGAGTGGGGAGAGACTCAGGGTAAGGAGCACCTACCTCACAAGGTTTTTATCAAGATTAAATGATGTAAAATAAAGTGTTTTTAAAGACTTTGAAGCTCTATCCAAATGTGAGTTAATGATATTATTATTTTTAATAACCTGTGTGACCTTAGGGGACTAGCTTTACTTCTCTGGGCCTCAGTTTACTCATCTGTAAAATGAGGAGGTTGGGTTAGATGACCTCTTAGGTCCCTTCCACCTCTAAAATCCTGTTATTTTCAGTTCCACAGGAGTCAGGAAGTTTGGAGGGGCCAGGCAGTGCTCAGAGGGGCCAGGTAGTGCTTAGGGGGGCCAGGCAGTGCTCAGAGGGGCCAGGCTGTGCTCAGAGGGGCCAGGTAGTGCTCGGAGAGCCCTCATTGCCATCAATGTGCTGCTCTCTGATACGGCTTTTGGCCCTTGCCATTTTTCAGAAGCTTGTTTTTCAACCATGTATCTGCAGATTAATTAATTGAGAAAAGCTACCCAAGTGTGTGTTAGTCATTTATGGATAGGCTAAAAGAAATCACGTTAATGTCGGCAAGTTCTTTTCTGTAGGTGTCTCCTGAGCCCATTGCTTTGGCCCACGAAGCATGAGCTCATGGTTTAATTGGGTTAGAAATTAAATGAATGGGTTTTTTTTTTCCTTCTAAAGAAGAGCCACTCTGTACTAAGACTAGCAATTAAAACTGAAAAGAGATACTTGGCAGGGTAGTGGAAACAAGACATGGGCTAAGTGCAGAAGTTAGGAGAACAAAAGCTTTTACCTGCAAGCACAGCAAAAAAAGTTTGGGAGAGGCAATGGACAAATCTGATCACTGCATTAAAGTTGGCGGAAATTGAATTTACCACAATCAAAGCAGACTTGGAGCAGTCAGAAAAGTGAACACCTCACATGGGGACTCTTAAAAGATGGAATTATGCTAAGATGTTGCTTATGCTTTTATAGAAACATGATGGGGTGGAAATAATGGACAGTATGGCGTAAGAGGCAAAGGCTGGGTTTAGAACCAGCAGAACAGTTTTCTAATTCTGTCTCTGACCTTTAAAACCTATGTGACCTTGGGCAAGTCACTTCATTTCCCTGGGCCTCAGTTTTCTCATCCTTAAAACTGAGGAGCTGGACCAGATAGCCCCTGAGGTCCTTCCTAGTTCCAGCTCAATGATCTACCTTGATGAACCTCAGTTTCTTAATTTGTACAATGAGGGGAAGAACTTCAAGGTCTCTTCCATCTTTAAATCCTACAAACACTGCCCCCTCCCCTGACAAGTTTTAATCTGATGTTTCATTTTGGCATGGAGGTAATCAGCAAAACACTGGCAGATTCTACCATGATGGAAAAGATTTGGGTACAGTTCCAGTGACACTAAGCCTGCTTTCCAAGTACCAGACTAAGTGTAGAGAAGCTTGTCACCAGTTGGCTGGCTGCTAGGTGATGCATTCTTTGGTCTAGCAAACTATTCATGCTACAGTGATGGAAAAGTCATATATCTTCAAATACACAAACATCCCAAACCCACACTTCAACTTTTGCTTTGTTGTCAGTCTAATACAATCCACCAAGCATTTATTATGCACCTAAAATATTTAAGGCACTGTGCCAATCACCGGACACACAAAGAGGGAAGGATTTAGGGAAATGAGTTTAATGATGAAAGTAGAGGTTTATACATCATATATTTCCATATACTATAAGCAGAAATATTTAATTAATTCATTTACTCAATTATTTGATTGTCATTCATCAATTCAATTCAACTAGCTTTTATATCTAACATCTAATATGTTCTGGGCTCTGGGGAAAATGTAAACATGCCTTCAAGATTACACAGTGGGTGGGAAGCTGTGTGAGAGCATTGGGAAGAACTAAAGAAACCTACACAGGGAGTGCCCTTTCTTCTTTTCTTTAGCCTTTGAGAGGGACCTTCTGTCTCCCACATGGGATTCAATAAGAAGGCAAAGACTTTGGGACTGCAGTAGTTAGGTCCAGGCTATAGCTTCATAATCTCCTTTCTGCTGTGACTAGGACCAGAGGACCCGGAAGGACTGCAACCATTACTTCAGAAGTGATTCAGACCCAAGATGAGAAGTGAAAAGCAGAGCAAAGTGGGACATACTAAATGCCAGAGATGGTCAGCAATGTATCAGGGAGGTTGGTGGTTTGAGACAAATTCTTCTTTTCCTGTTTCCCCTGACTTTGTGGTGTAGCATAGAGCCTACACCTGAGACCCGCAGGGTCCCACCTTTCCCTACTCTATACCCAGTCACGCAGTTGTATACTGGGTCCGTTGCTGGGAAAACCTGATTTCTCAATAGAGGAAGTAAGCTCCCCAATTGTCACATTGATTGGCTCATCACCTTCACCCTTAGCTGCTCAAGGGACAGTTCTACTTTTGGATCTATTTTAGGGTTTTCCCCCAAAAAGAAGAGAATAAAAAACAATGTAGACAATGTATAAACATGAATTGGGAATGGAACGGTTCCTTGATTTCCATACAGAAAAGGGAATGCTAAGTACACAAGAGAATGATGGTGTTACGGAATGATTAAAACAGAATTTGGTAACATGGGCTACTAGTATAATCAGTTGGGAGGTCTCATTGGGACATGAAAAGGTTTTGGCAAGGTTGGTAATTAGCCATCTCACATTTTATTTTATTGGCAATAATCTGATAAAATTCCATCCTTGAACTTTCATGTGCTCTTTTTTGCTCTGACTCTGACTCTTCCTTTGGCACCAGCTCACACCTACTGCTCCTAAGACATATTTCAGGTGGTAGAACTTCCCTACATAGTCCCTTCTCTTTGTCATCAGCCGCTGCCATGCTAGGGGACACCTCTGCCACTGGTGGGGGATTGTTACCATGGCTACCACAAGGTTCCAGGACTTTTAAGTTCTCATAGGGCCCTGTACCAAAGGAAAGAAGACACAGAAGGGTGGCAGCCTGTGACAGGACCCATAGCAACCAATTCACTTACAAGTCATGGTATCACCTTCCTGGTGTCACAGTCCTCTTCAAGAATGAAGGACAGATAACAATAACAACAACCAGATTTTCCTCCATCACCAATATAGATCAGGCTAGTTTCTTTCCTAAAGGGCAAGGAAGGAATACAAGTTATTAAAAACCAAATGAAAAAAATTTCCAAATCACTAGCAGAGAAATTCAAATTAAAACAATTCTGATGCTCCATGTCACACCTATCAGATTATCAAAGATGGCGAAATGGGGAAATGGCAGTTGTTGGAGGGTACATGGATAAACAGGCACATGGATGTGTTCTTGATGGAGCTGCAAATAAGTATAGCCATTCTGTAAAGCAATTTAGAACTGACCAGAAAAGGTGTCTAAATTATGACTTTTGATCCAGACATATCACTTCTAGGCATATTCTCCCAATGAGATTAAAGAAAGAGGAAAATGATCCATATGCACACAAATATTTATAGCAGCCTTTTTTATAGTGGCAAAGAACTAGAAGCTAAAGAGAAATGGAAACTCTTATCAAGTGGTAGATGGCTGAACAAATAATGGCATATGTAAGCATATTGTATGCATGTTGTTTTTGGCAGCTAGGTGGTGCAGTGGATAGAGCACTAGGTCTGGAAGATCTGAGTTCAAATCTGACCTCAGACACTTACTAGCTATGACCCTGGTCAAGTCACTTTACTTCTCTCTGCCTCAGTTTCTGCTACTGTAAAATAGGGATCATAACAGCATGCATGTACCTTACAGGGCTGGTGTGAGGATTAAATGAGATCTGTAAAGTGCCTAGCACAATGTGGGTGCATATTAAGTACTTTATAAATGTTTATTCCTTTTCCCTTCCCCTTTCTCCAGTAGAATGTAAGTTCATTGAAGGCAGGTACTATATGACTTTTATTTTTATACCCAATATCTGCCACTTAGTAAACACTTGCGTGAATTAAACCAAATGACCTTCCACAATGTAACTCCAAACCTTCCCAACCATGGTGCCTGTTAATCACTTATGCTAAATCTCCATTTTTGACAAACTGATCTTACTCACCATTCCCTGAAGATGCCTCATGCTTTCTGCCTCTATGTCCTCTCAGCATTTCATTTCTTCCCCTATAGCTTCCTGCCAGAATCCTATGTGCCTTTCCTATTACATCTAAGAACCTCCTTATTGGATTGCAAACTTCACTAGGGCAGGCACTGTGCATCAATGAAGCTTCACCTGTCCTCCAGTCCCTAGCATTGCACTATGAAGAGTGGTTTGAACAAACTTTTGTTGAATGAATGAATGGAGAAATGAGTGATTACCAAGATAATTATATTAGTATGAAGTGCAACTACAGCTGCACATACACTGCAATGAAGTGTAGTCATTTCAAATCCTGACTGAGTTTCTTTCATCTAACCTTCACCCAAGAAAACAGGCTTTGATATAAATGGAAGGCTAGTGTATTGTGTTTACAACTTGTCCTATAATGAAGTAATGCTTTATCTGAAAGTGATTTATATGCTTGTTTTCTGTGTCTCTAACAAATATCAGATTAATAGTTTTGTAGATTTTTTCTCCATTAAATTAACCTGCAATTCGAGTAGCATAGTTATTTTATTTTATTGCTGCCTGGAGCCTGGATACCTAGTTAGCCCACAATACTTCTAGAGGCAGGATTTCCAACTGACGGGCAGAATTAAAGATTCCCAGAATTGTAAGAGACCTCAGAAGCCATCTTGCCTAACCTGTAACTCTTCTACAACTTCTCTTGCAAGGGGTCTCCAGCTTTTGTTTGATCATCTACGATGAAAGGGAACTCACTATCTCCTGATGTAGCCCAGGTCAATTTAGGCAACCACTAATAAATTCTAAAGAACTTTTCCTTACATTGAGCTTAAATCTGTCTCTTCGTTCCTTTCACCTATTATTCTTTGTTCATTTCCCTGGGACCGAGAAGAGCCAATCTAATTCTTCCATAAGGGATCTTTTAAGTGATTCAAAATAGCTATCCTAATCTACCCCAAGTCTTCTCTTCTCCAAGCTAAATGCCCCCAATTCCTTCAACTGTTCCCTGTGATATCATTGGTCCATTCTGAAAGTGGAGGATGAACAACAACAAGATGGCATGATACCATCCCGGTTACCCCCTTCTAGATGAGCTCTAGCTTGCCTACCACTCTGACATATGGCTCCCAGAGCTGAGCACAGAGATGCTCTGAATAGAGGGAAACTATCACCTTCATATTTTTTCACTCTGAGTCTCCATACAGCCTTGAATGGAATTTTCCTTTTTTAAAAAAAAAATACTATGTCAAAATGTTTAATGATTTGTTTGAATAGACAAGGTTGGAGTTGCCTCAATTATATGCCACGTCTTCTTATTTTGCTTCTCCTAGTTTTTTGTCTTTGTTCTGATAAGTTGGTGATCTGACTGCACACAGACACCTGATTCAGAAATGACTCCCACATTGTAACCAGTTATTTCCGGTTAAAGTATAACCAAATGTGTATGTGCATATGTGTGTGTGATGTTTTTTGGTGCTTGCCATGGCAGCTAGATGGCTTGAGGGATAGAGTGCTCTACTTGGAGTCAAGAAGATCTGAATTCAAATCCTCTCTCAGACAATTATTTCTATCTATATGATGTAGAGATTTAGTCTCTTTCAGTCATGTTAGTTCTTGATGGGGCAGGCAGGGAGGACAGAAAACTAATAATTTGGGGGTGAGATCTTGTGTAGGAGGTAAGGTGGTTCTTGAACACTGAACTGGAGGCATTCATGTTTTGTATGGGGAACTGGAAATAGGTGAATTTGGTTGGAACAGAGAATGTGTGAAGTAGAATCTGACGAAACAAGTCTAGAAAGATAGGTTGGATCCATGTTGTGAAGCATTTTAAGTGTCAACCAGAAGCATTTGTATTTTATCATAGAGGAAGTTAGTGACCCAGTGAAGCTTCTTGAAATGGTGTTTTAGGAATTTAAATTTGTCAGCTGTATGAAGATGGATCAGATTGGGGAGAGACTTGGCAACTTATTAGATATAAGAAGTGAGGAAGAGGGAAGAGACCAGGAGAGTTCCATGATCCTGGGTGAATGGAAGGATGGTCATGCTCTCAACAGAAATAGGGAAGTAAGAAAAAGGTAAAAATTTGGGGAGGGGTTTACACAATTAATTCCATTTTAGACATGTTAAGTGTGAGATGCCTATGTAGCATACAGGTGTGAATGTAATAGTAGATGTACTAGAGCTCCAGAGAATGATGAATGCTATATAGATTTGGTAGTTATCTGCACAGATATGATAATTGAATGTGACCAGAAGAGATTATATAGAAAAAGCTAGAGGAGGGTCCAGGATAGGGCCCTGGTTGGACCCATGCATGAGAGGCAGGAAACAGGTTTTCCTACTCATGAAGGAGAACAAAGTTAGGAAAGCTCAAGAAAGATAGGAGATCCAGAAGAAGAGGGGAGATGGCCAACAATATCAAATGCTGCAGAGAGGTCAGGAAGGATGAAGCCTGAAAAAAAGGTTATTCAATTTTTAAAAATTTTTAAAATTTAAATTTAAACCTGAGAGAGAGAGAGCATAGTATCAAGTCAAGTAGTGGCACTGGAATGCCTCTTGCACAGGTCATGATATGCAGTTGGAAGGACAACCCACATCACTGGTCTAGCAGGACATCTTGAACAGACACCTAAAATATATGATAATCTAATTGAACAGGAGAAGTGAGCTGGATTGTTTTTGGGAAAATAACCCCAAGATTCTCCCTATAATAAAAATCCTTCTTTTTTTAAAAATAGTCATATTCTTCCAGTGATACTGAATAACTTTAAGAAACGGAATACTACAGACTCCAAAGCATTCAAATTGAAGGTCACCCAAGGGATAATAGAAAAATGCATGGTAAGCTTGAACAGATAATAACATATTGCCAATCAAGAATAATTTCAAGAGAACAATTTAAAGGATATCATCAGAAGATGTATCCCTGAGGAAAATGGGTTGATCATGTGGGATAACTGATAAACAGCCTATGTACGCCATTGACATTCATGGTATTTTGCATGATCTAAAGGAAGGCCACCAGGGTATTTTGTGGACCTCCCCTACAAAAGATTTATGGGAAGGTCATAGATATAAAACTAGACAGATAACAATCAGTCTAATACCTTCATTTTACAGATAAGGAAACTGAGGCCCGAATAGGTCAAATGAGTTGCCCAAGGTCACACAAGTGGTAAGTGATGGAGCAAAGATTCAAACCGAGATTTTATTACTCCAAATACACGTGGACAAAAGTTTTATAGGATAAAAAGACATGTTTGGGCTTAGCTCTGTCTTATTAGAGATAGGGCTCACATTGAAGAAATTACAAAGCCATCAAAATATTGAAGTATGTCCCATTGTTCCCTCATATCAAACTTCCATTAAAACTTCTGGGTTTTTTTTTTCATATAACACTGTTCAGCTACTATAGTGAGGTCCCAATTAGTGTGAAGTGGCTACATTGCCGCATTATTTGGATTTGCACTATGGGATTTACAATTATATGACAAATATGGTAATTAGCTCCAGCCCAATAGAAATGGGCAGTGTGAATTTGAATGATTCAACCACTTCATGGAATTTACTATTTATATAAATTTACAATCACACTAACTGGGGGCCTAGCTATGTTCCCCAATACATATTTGTGAGATTTATTTTTTAACTTAAGTATTAAAATTTACATTTATCTCTATTTGATTTCATCTTTATAAATTTAGCCCCTACTTTTTTCAGCCTGTTAAAATGTCTTATTGGCTCCAGACTCTGAAATACAACTTGTTAACCATTTCTCCCAGCTTTGTGTCACCAGCCAATGTAATAAGCATGTCTTCTATGACTTCATACAAGTCATTGATAAAAAAAAGTTAAATTGCACATGGCCAAAGACAGATCTCTTGAGTATTCCATTACAGACCTCTTTCCAAGTTGATATAGAACCATTAATGACCCTTTTTGTTGTTCTTCATTCACCCAGTTTCAAAACCATTCATGGTTAATCTATGGGTCTGTCCCTTCAGTCACCTACACATACATATACACATATACATCTAGTCCAAGGGTAGGGAACTTATGACCTTGAGGCCACATGTGGCACTCTAGGTCCTCAAATATGGCCCTTTGACTAAATCCAAACAAAAGGATTTGCTCATACTCCACTCCCTTTTCTTCAGAAGTATTTTTTTAATCTCTCTGATAAGTGTTCTAACTCAGTCAGAAAGTCATCAAAAGGTACTCACCCACTAACTACTCTATTATGGAGCTGGTTAGATCAATGAAAAAACCCTTTCTTGTCAGGTTGTGATCTGCAGCTGTAAGTCGAATGAAAGAGTCATAGCATTCTAGAGCTGAAAGGGACCTTAAGTGGGCAAAGTCTTTACTGACTCCAGCTCTTTCCATCTGAATCAAGAAGCCTTCTAATGCTACCTTCCTAAGGCCTTTAACTGGACTCTGCAACCCCCAACCATTGCTGCTCATGTTCTGGCCTCTGCTGTCAATCAGAACATCTCACACTTATGGTGAGCCATTCAAATATGGTTACCTTGCTCCTACTAAGTTTTCTCCCTTTAGATGACTGAACATCCCCATTTCCTTCTGTTAGTTCTCCTTTTCTAGTCCACTCACCATCCTGACTATTCCCCAACTTGTCAATATCCTTCCTAACATATGGTTCTCAGACCTCAATGCAAATTGATTAATCAACAGACATTTATTAAGTGCCTGCTACGTGCCAGGAACTGTGCTAAATGCTAGGGATACAAAAAAGAGGCAAAAGAGAGTCCTTCTCAATGAGCTTACAATCTAATAGAATCTCACAATCTATCATAAGACTCCTTATGTGGCATGACCAGGACAGGGCCCAGCAGAGCTATCATTTCCTTATTGCTGAGAGTTATGTCTTTTAATGTCACCCAAGATCACATTAGCTTTCTTTGTTGCCCTCACCCTATTTTTTCAGATAAATGACTGTCTAGCTGCTCCTCCTCTATCTTATCTCTCTGAAGTTGATTTTTGAATGCAAGTATAAAAGCTTATGTTTGTTATATTTCAATATCCAATCCAATGATCTGCCCCTGTCTTTCTCACAGTGTAGTTTAGGGACCCCTGGAGGTTTCCCAGACCCTTTCAGGGGTCCACAAACTCAAAACTATTTTCATAATAATACTAAGACATTTAAATTTCTAATGCCACAAATATTGATAGATATAACCCAAATAAACAAAAGATCTCTGTGAAGGGGTCTTCAATACATTTTAAGATTATAAATGGATCCTGAGACCAAAACACCTGTCAAGATTTCTCTATTTTTTTTTCCATTACACTACAACTTCTTGTGATCTCAGCAAGACATGTGACAATATCTCTCATGGTATTCTTGTGTCTAAACAGATAGTTATGCACTGGATTAGGTAGGACAGAACTAGGTAACTGATCAGACTTGATGAGTATTGATCAGTGGGTTGATATCAAATTGGAAGGGGGACTCTAGTACAGTGCTGTGAGGCTTCATCCTTGACTTGGATTCTATTCAATGTTTTAATTAATGACTGGACAAGATTCAGAACTTGAACTCAGATCTTCTGACTGCTGCTCAGTGCTCAACTCACTCCACTGCACATAGCTGAGCTCTGAAAGTCCATGATCCTATGTGCCTCATAGCCCTCATGTGGATTTCAGGGTGGGATACTACCATTCCCTAGACCATATTTCCCCAGCCCTGTTTTCAACTGAGAGGTCATTCCTTTCTTTCATATCAGGAGTGGAAAGACAGAATCATGGGAAGAAACGCTGGCTTGGGGCACGTGGGCTTTCTCTTCTCGAATAGCTCAGTCTCACCCTCTGCCACAAAGGATAAGTGCCTCATTCTGGATCATTTGAAGCTGGAAAGTGCTTGGTATGCAAGTCCATGCCTGGAAGTCTGGAAGACTATTAACATGGCAAATTCCATTGTTTATTTCTCCCAAATCACTCTCAGTGAACAGGAAAGAGATTGTACCCAGCTGCTGGAATCAAATCAGTAGACCCGCACAGCCCCAGAAGATGGGACTGATAAAAAGCTGTAATTCCTTAGCTAGTGAATTTCCAGAGAAAGGAAAAATGCTTGCTTGTTACAGTCAAACATGGTAGATGGATCAAACGCTTATTCATCTTGGTTTGGGAGGAAGGGAGGGGAGGGGGACATCCAAACAGGGCCATCTGCAACAGCTGATAGTACAGAGCACAGGGGAGGCTGGGGGAGCTTTCATTTTTCATCAGAAACCGATGGTTCTCATTCTCAGACAGCTTATTGTCAGAAGAGTCTGAGAGCAGTAGGCTTCTGGGTCCTAATGACCTACTCATCTCTCTACACTGTAGACTGTTTACTCAGGCTGTCATTCACTGTGTTAAGAGGAAAGGTACTCAGGGCCTTTTTGTTCATTCACCTTCAGCAAAGGAGAAACGAAGTTTACCTGAGGCATGCTGGAGCTGCTAGAACTGGGCTTTGAAAAGGCGAGGCAGAGTGGAGATGAATTTGGAGACACAGTGGGATGCAGGGGAAACCTGGCTGAATAAATCATCAGGAGAGCTGGGCTTGATTCCAACTTTTAGTAGTTGTTTCACAAGGGCAGATCTCTTTATCTCCCTGAGCCTTCACCTCTAAGAGCCCCCATTTCTTCATCTCTCTCTTCCCCCACCTCTTTCTCTGTGTCTCTTCGTCTTTCTCTCTTTCTCTTTCCCTCCTTCTTCCTCTCCCCTCCCCCCTCCCTTCTTTCTCTGTGTCTCTTCCTCTTTCTTCCTCTCTCTCTCTCTCCCTTTCTCTTCCTCTTTATCTCTCTCTGTATATATATATATATATATATATATATATATATATATATATATATATATATGAATTTGAATATATGAATATATGCATATGAATATGTATATATGAAATTATGACAATAATACCTATTTGCTGTATTGCAAAGCATTGTGTAAACCTTAAGGATTGGTAAAAGGGAGCCAAGTTAGAATGGGGAATATGTAACCTTGTCTATTACTATGAAATGTATATGCAAACAAAATGGCGTCATCACCTGAGCTTTTCTGTGCTCCCCCAACACATTGGTGTGAACCCTTTATTACTGACTAGGCATTGCTGGGTAGCTGGGAATCTCAGGGCCTGGCAATGCTTTAAGGGTCCTAGGTACTGCCCCATGCACTCAGCCTAACATAAAAAGATTAAAGGCCTAGTATCAATTAGTGAAGCCTACAAGGGAGGGATTTAAACTCAATATGGGGAAGAACTTCTAGTGCTTAGAGTTATGCAATAATGGAATAAGAGGCGTTGCTGACAGCTGGCTTGGAAGTCAGGAAGACGTAAGTTTCAAGTCCTGCCTCTGACATATACTAGCTGCTAGTATAACAGCTATTGTTCAGTCATTTTTCAGTCCCGTCTGACTCTTTAGGACCCCATTTGCGGTTTTCTTGGCAAAGATACTGGAGTGGTTTGCCACTTCCTTCTCCAGCTCATTTGACAGATGAGGAAACTGAGGCAAACAGGGTTAAGTGACTTGCCCAGGGTCACACAGCTAGTGTCTGAGGCCAGATTTGAACTCATGAAGCTGCCCCATAGTAATATTTAATACTTATTAAATGTTTGTTGACTTATTGAATTATTATTCCTTAACTTCTTGTGTCCAAGGCAACTCTCTAAGACTATATAGATTACAGAGTGGTAGAAAAGTTACCAGGATACATGTAGGTGCAAGGAGCTTCCTATGATGATGAAATCACAGGTCAGGGAAAAAATAATTTATATACAACTCTAAGGTTAACAAAGGGTTTTATATGCATCATCTCATTCTATTCTCACAACCACTCTGTTAGATAGATAGGTACTCTTATCCCCATTCTACAGATGAGGAAACTGAGGCTCAGAGATTTGAAGTGACTCATCCCTGGCCACATAGCTAGTAAGTGGCTAAGATGGGTTTTCATCCTGACTCTCAGTCTAATGCCATCGCCGTTATACCTCAGGATTTGTCAGCAGTGTTAAGGAGGGGATTCACATTTCAGGTTCACATTACACTAAAGACATCTAACTTTGGGATCCCAAGATGGTATGAGTAACATTTTTCCAGCCTGAATCTATCCTAAGGGATCTGAGTTTATTCTAAAGGTCTAAAGCACCTTGGTGAAGTTATCTCTTTACATTAAGCCCATTCACCAGATCATTCTTTAAATCATTCACCCACATAAGAAACGTTAATTAAAGGTGTGATATATGTATGACAATGACCTACAAAGAAAATTGAAGACATGGTCTCAGCCTTCAAGGAACATGTGCAGATCTGTACAGTAGGATGGCCAGTTAGGTAACCCAACTTTGAGTTAGGGGATAGACCTTTTCCTTTTCCAGACCCCCAAACCCCTTGCTTCTGATAGGCTGGCTATAGCCCCAAGATGGATGAGAGTGCTTCCTTATTGGCTCCAGGTGGTATTTACTTATCCCTAATGATTATTCTTTTCCCTCCCCACTTCCTTAAAACCCATACCTTAATCATAATTGCTAAATGCCAGGTGCTTCTGTCTCTACTTCAGCCTCCTCAGGGGTCCACCTCCCACTTCCTTCAACCTTATCTGAAATAGAAATATACTCTTGTTATCACGTAAGGAAGAGGATAAAAAATAACCCAGTCATTGTTGCTTGAATATAAATTACATGCTGATGGCACTTCTGTGGTTCAAGGATCCCTTTCCCATCCATCCCTTCTTAGAACAAAGACAGATGAGACAATTTGGCTTTCCAGGGTCCTTTTTCAAATGTCTGACCAAATTGCAGTGGAAAATGCTGAATGATTATTTGTTTGCATAATCATTAATTTGGCTAATTGAAAATTCCTCACCAGCTGTGGGGTTGGGGAGGAATTATTAACCACTCCATAACAGATTTTAAAAAAAAGAAGTTAATTTGAAAATGCCTCTGAAAATTTCTGATAGAAAATGAATTGATCTGGAATGGACAGTTTTCTCCTTCCTTCATGTTCCTCACCACATGCCCAAATCCAGAAGCACAGAAACTGAGGTCAGGTTCTAGAGGACATTTCATCTTCTACTCCTTGGCCTACAAAGAGGCAAACCTAAAATGGAGAGAAAGTTTGGGACAGCAGACAGAGTAATGGGCTTGGAGTTAGATGACCTGGGTTCAAATACACTTACTAGCTGTATGACATTAGGCAAGTCACTTCACCTTCCTGGGTCTTAGAAGAAAGAGGTTGGAATTGATGATCTCCTCACTCCAAACCCATGGTCCTATTATTCTGCTTTTTAAGGTGGGATATATATGGCAGCACACTCAGCCCCAGGCCTTCCCAGCACAGTGTGTTTCATTGTACCTATGAAATTATCAGATTATCAAAAGTTGTGTGAAAATTATACAGTAGATGTTCCTAATGACCATGTTTCTTAATCCAGAGGATAGCTGGAGGGCCACTGGTATCCCAGCCACACAGACCTCCTTATTCCTTTTGGAAGTCCCTCCCTACTGACCACTGCTCCATCCTCCTCTGAGGTCTGGCACTGCCGTGGCACTACAGTTTGAAAGGTTGTCTGAACCTAACCTTTTGTCTGAGGAACTGACCCCACAGGGCCTTATTTAGTCAACAAATATGAAGGTACAGTCCCTACTATAAGGAATTTACAGCCAGGGCTGGGTTAGGCCTAGGAGTAAAATTACAAATTAAGGAAATTGTGTCTGTGCTTCTTTCTTCTCATCTCCCCACCTTCCTAAAGAGCCCTTATGTTCACCCATCCCTTCTCCTCCCACAGAGTACTAAATCAGCTTCCCCAATTCTCAGTACTCCTAAATCCACAGTGAGCCACTCACTGTAGAGGAAAAAGCCATCCTGAGAGGTAAGATCAAACAAAGCCTTTTCAAGAGGGTCCTTTCCCCTACCTGAAGCCAGCAGCAACTGAGTGCTGCCTGATGCCTTTAACACTATGGTTTCCTCAAGAGGGATTTAGGTTTTAATCTGTTTGGTTTCTTCCTTCCCCCATCGGATTAAAATCCTTTCTCAAAAGCTCTGATTACTCAGAGATTTGATCAGCTACTCATGGTATTTCAGTCGGAGAGGAGGAAGACATTTCTCTCCCCCTTTAGGAACGCAGCCCTCATTCTTGTCCCTGACAGAATCCAGCCTGCCTCAGAGGTCATTTAATCAATCCCCCTGCCTCTGGATAGACCACCCCTCAAACCATATCAGAGAGATGAATGTCAGCCCTGTTTTTAGACCTCTCCGAAAGGCATCTCCTTAATGTATTTAAGTCACCTGATCTGGTAGATTTCCTCCGTCTTTCTGAGAAGGTTCTGTCCTAATCATCAGAAAGTAGAATGGAAAAAGGGTCTAGCTCTGTGCTCCAGCTTCTGCACTGGCACTAGCCAGATATATGACCTATAGCAAGGTCATACAGCTAGTAAGTGTTCGACTCTCCTTTTTCTTATCTATGCAATGAGGAAATTGAACCAGTTGAGGTCCCTTAAATCTTAAAAAAAAATCTTATTCTATAAATGGTCTAAATAAAAGTGTATCTATAGAAAAGAAGTCCTGTTCATGAAGGAAAGAAGGGTTTTTTTTCTCTATTTTTTCCAGGTCACTTCTTCAATTTACACACCAACAAGAATCCCATTGCATTAACTTTTGGGATTTCCATATCACACCATTGACTCATACTGGACTTGCAGTCCACTAAAACACTCAGATCCTTTTAAGATGAATTGTCTATTGACACCTCCTCCTCCTCCATTTGTACTTGTGAAGTTGGTTTTTTGAACCCTACACTTTGCCTATTAAATTTCATCTTAGACTTGGCCCAGTATTCTAGCTCGTCAAGATCTTTTTTGGATACTAACTTTATCATCCAGCATATTTCTCCAAGTTTTGTGTCATTTGCCAAAATAAAAGCTATGCCACTTGTGTCTTCACACAAGTCATTGGTAAAAATGTTATACAATATATGGCCAAGAAAAGATCCCTGTGTCCACCTACAGCATCAACAGATTTAGAATTGTAAGGGACCTTAGAGGTCATCTAAACCAGCACCCTGACTTATAGACTATATCAGATGGCCCTCTATCTTGGGGAGAGGTAGGGAGGGAGGGGGAGGAAAATTAAAACTCAAAAGCTTATGGACATGATTGTTGATAAATTAAAACAAATTAACAAACCAGCCCCCTGGTTTTATTTTGTTTTGTTTTGTAAATTTTATTTAGAATTTAACAAACCAAATAAAATGGGCATTTTGACATGTACAGCAGAACAGAACAAGCAGATTATATATGAAACTGCATGTCTCTGTTATGCACAACTTGCTTTTCTTTTAAAGCATATAAGTTTAAGCAGTAGCTTTCAAAGCTATCCTGTCTGTCTGTGCTTCTCTCCGGCCTTCCTTCTGTTCTCTTCTCAGCCCCCTTACTTTATAGCTAAGGTCCAAAAGAGGGAAGCAATTTGTCTTGAAGCTCTATATAAATGGGTGACTTTTGTACGGTTCTCACCCTCTC